TTCCTATTCTTGAAAGGAGGCGGCACTAATTTTGCACTGCGATATGCAGATACTTGGGCAATGCGTGGGGGAAGATATAAATTAGGGAGCAACTACTCTGGGAGCAGAACTTCTGTTATGGAATTTGAATCCGACTGGAAAAAACACAGGAAATTGCCAGCATATACTGCTCATGTGATGCGTTCTGCAACATCCTTTATGCCTTGGTCTTGTAGAATCCCTATAGGTGACGGATATCACGAATTCCTTTAAACAAATGTCTGCTATCATAAAGTGTACGCATTTTTGGGTGATACCTAACTGGTCATACCAAGATAACCTGCATCTCTTTTGATTTGCATAGTTTCTCAATCTAAAGAATGCCGGGTTTTGTGAGTGAAAATAAGAGATTCAGAGAACCAAACATGTGTTTATCCAATTTGGTCATGCAAGATACACCAATTCGTTCAAAAAGCTATCGTAGTTTGACTTCTCTAGTCGTAGATGATTTTGACAGCCCCATTCTACCGGGACTGCCAGATGACATAGCAAAACATTGCCTTGCTCTTGTTCCTCGTTCCGACTTCCCTGTTATGAGTGGTGTGTGTAAGAAATGGAGGCATTTTATTCAAAGCAAAGAACTCATCACTGTGCGACAACTAGCTGGGGTTCTTGAGGAGTGGCTCTATGTGTTAACAACAGATTCTCTAGGAAAGCCAAGCCACTGGGAGGTTTTAGATTGCCTCGGACGCAAGCACCATATTCTTCCTTCAATGCCTGGTCCAATGAGATCTGGGTTTGGGGTGGTAGTTCTCAGTGGAAAGCTTCTTGTCATTGGTGGATATTCTGTGACCAGCGGGACCAGTGTTGCATCAGAAGATGTTTACCAATATGATTCTTGCCTCAACAGGTATTTTTCTCTGTGATTTGCTCATTCAGCTTAAGCTCATAATAATCCAATCTTTTCTTAATCACCTTTCTGCCATTTTGTTGTTGTTGACATATATGATTGTAATTGTAGGTGGGGAAAATTAGCAAGCCTGAATGTGGCTCGACATGACTTCGCTTGTGCAGAAGTGAGTGGAATGATCTACGCAGTTGGAGGATTTGGTATAGATGGGAGCAGTCTCTCTAGTGCCGAGGTGTACAATCCTGACACAGATACTTGGACCCTGATTGAGAGTCTTCGCCGCCCACGATATGGTTGCTTTGCCTGTGGATTTGAAGGAAAGCTGTATGTTATGGGCGGAAGGTCAAGCTTCACTATTGGAAATTCAAAGTTTGTTGATGTCTACGACCCCGAGAAGCACACTTGGTGTGAGATGAAGAATGGTTGTGTCATGGTCACTGCTCACGCTGTGCTGGAAAAGAAGCTATTCTGTTTGGAGTGGAAGAACCAGCGGAAGCTTTCAATTTACAATCCAGAGGACAATTCATGGGAGATGGTACAGATCCCATTGACTGGAAGCACAAGTATAAAGTTCCGGTTTGGGATACTAGGTGAGAAACTTCTGCTATTTTCACTTGAGGAGGAACCTGGTTACCGTACTTTGTTGTATGATCCAAATGCAACCCCAGGATCAGAGTGGCAGACTTCTGAGGTAAAGCCGTCTGGTCCATGCTTTTGCTGTGTTACGATCAAGGTGTGAAACGTGTGCCCGAAAGTTAGAGAACCTTCGTAAGAGACTAGAAAACAAAGTTGGCGCACTTCTTGCATTGATTGGATTAGGATTTTAAATAATTACTGATAATTGTGCTTGTTCTGTTTGCCTGGATTAGGACAAGCAATAACACTTAATGTTCTTCTTGCATTGCCTAGAAGTCAGTCAAGTCTAGTTTGGGACTGCTCTCTTTTATCAATCAACTTCCTTGCATTTGTTTATGTTCGACTGGGATTTATCTTCTTTGCACGTATGCAGTGCCTGCCTACTTCAAAAAGTGGGACCTCCAGTTTGCTAAAATATGTGGTTGCATAAAAATTCTTATTAATCATAAATCAGTAAGTTATTTATTTTTTTTCAATTAAAGGCCAAAGGCCAATGACTTTATTCAACATTAGAACGTAAAGAACAAAAATCATCCGGAAGGTAAGAGTGAAGCCAACTAGGTCCCTATTACAAGATAAAGTAAATTTGGCTAATTGATGAGTCACAAAATTACATGTACGAGGTTGGTGTTGCAAGGATATGAATACAAAACAACAGAGTAACTCTTTCAGTTCCTCTATCAACTCTCCTTCCATTCTCGTGTCAAATTTAGTTCAGTTTACGAACGCATTACGAATTATTAGCAGGCGTGATTCCATTTGAATTTGTCCTAAAATTGTTTGGAATCTTTGCGACATCAAAACTAGATGCTTCAAACCATTGATATAACTTGTAAGTTGGCTCTTTGGCCTACGTCAAAAATTGTCCCCTGTTTACCAACTAACTTTTAATTTACTAATCTTCTTCCCAACAGTGAAAGCTCACAAGTTACATGTTCAAAGTCTCTCCCCATTCTCATCAAAAAAAAAAAAAGTCTCTCCCCATTTAATTTTCTTTATTAAAAAAAAAAATAAAAAAAAACACTCCGAGAAGCCATTTGAAATATTTGTAATAAGGGAAATTTTTTGCAATACCCATGAACTCCAGATTTTATTTACTTTTATGTACTTTCAATTTGGTTTTGGTTCTCTCTTAATCTTTTAATACGTATCAATTTAACCTGTATTTTTTAAATTATGAGTTATTTTCCGACAATAGGGTCTAGCCCAATGAAAAAGGGCTTGACTTGCAGATTAGAGATCTCATATTCAAATTTCCATGACATCATAGTTGTGTGTGTGAGAGAATTCTTAATCTCTTATAGTTTAGACTATGACTTGTACTATAAAAAAAAAAAAAAAGAGTAAGAAAATTAACGAAAAATGTGATAAATTTGATGATTGGGAATAAATTGACACTTTGAACAAAAAGAGAGAGGAATAAATTAAAAGATTACGGCCAAATTGAAAATTAAAAAGACAAATCAGAAGATCGTGATAAGCTCATGTAGCATTGCTAAATTTCGGCTAGTAATAATTGTCCTAACTCACTTAAACTGGCAACTCAAAATTATTTTAACAGAAAAAAAAAAACCATAAAAATTATGAATTTATTCTTTTCACATTCACGCGAAAAAATAAGGTAGCGTTCGGTATCGTTTTCATTGCCTGTTTTCTGTTTTCTGGAAAATATATGTTCGGTGGAACATTTTTGTTTTCCCTAAAAATGTTTTCCAAAAACAAATCCAATTCATGAACAAAAGTTGAAAACGAAAATATGTTGTTTTCGTTTTCAGTCCATACGATAATTCATTTTTTCCATCTCTCTTTCACCAATCAACGTCGATTCTTGTCTTTGAAATTCTCCATAGCTATTCTTCTTCTAAAATATCTGAGATCTTGATTTACTTATCAAGCACACCAAACCAAGAAAAAAAAATTCAACTGAGGAGCACCACTGTGGAAACCCATCTCCACCGATCCAGACCCATCGTCTAGTTTGCCGCACCGGCACCTCCAAAGCACGATCACCACCAAAGCAGTCGAACCATAACTGCCACAAACCCAGTTGAACCACTATCACCACCCAATCGAACCACCACCAACCATTAACAAATGAAAACAGAAAGAGGATGGGTATGAAGAGGAAGAATCAGAGAGAGGAAGAAGAAAAGAAAAAATAAGAGAGGAAGAAGAAGAAAAGAAAAAATTAAGAGAGGAAGAAGAAGAAAAGAGAAAAGAGTGAAAAAGGAAGGAAGAAAGAAAAAAGAAACTGTCTGGGAAAGAAAAGAAGAAGAAAATAGGAAAAGAGAAAGAAAAAAAGAAAGAAGAAGGGCACGGGCCTGGGAAGGAAGGAAAGGGATAAAGAAAGAGAGAGAAAGAGAAAAAAGAAATGAGATAAAGATAATGTTTGTCTTTAAAAAAAAATATTAGAATTTTTTATTTGTTAAATTATACATTTTTTTATTGTTTATAAATTTTTGTCTTTGAAAAATAGCAGAATTTTAAAATTAAAAAAAGCTGAAATTAGCAAAAATACTCTTGAAAATAACTCACATATAATAATTCCTCTAAAATATCATAATGAAAAAAAATTAGAAATGAAGAGAAAATAGTGAAAAAGGAAGAAAGAAAGAAAAAAGAAACTGTCTGGGAAAGAAAAGAAGAAGAAAATAGGAAAAGAGAAAGAAAAAAAGAAAGAAGAAGGGCACGGGCCTGGGAAGGAAGGAAAGGGATAAAGAAAGAGAGAGAAAGAGAAAAAAGAAATGAGATAAAGATAATGTTTGTCTTTAAAAAAAAAATTAGAATTTTTTATTTGTTAAATTATACATTTTTTTATTGTTTATAAATTTTTGTCTTTGAAAAATAGCAGAATTTTAAAATTAAAAAAAGCTGAAATTAGCAAAAATACTCTTGAAAATAACTCACATATAATAATTCCTCTAAAATATCATAATGAAAAAAAATTAGAAATGAAATTATAAAAAATACACCTGAAAAACAATTGTACTACCAGACACGTTTTCATTGTTTTTGTTTTCTGAAGATGTTTTCTAATTAATCTACCAGACGCATTTTCATTTCCAAAGATAATGTTTGTCTTTAAAAAAAATATTAGAATTTTTTATTTGTTAAATTATACATTTTTTTATTGTTTATAAATTTTTGTCTTTGAAAAATAGCAGAATTTTAAAATTAAAAAAAGCTGAAATTAGCAAAAATACTCTTGAAAATAACTCACATATAATAATTCCTCTAAAATATCATAATGAAAAAAAATTAGAAATGAAATTATAAAAAATACACCTGAAAAACAATTGTACTACCAGACACATTTTCATTATTTTTGTTTTCCGAAGATGTTTTCTAATTAATACCAGACGCATTTTCATTTCCTGAAAATGCAAATTCGTTTTCTTGTTTTCATTCTCTGAAAATATTCTCTGAAAACACTCTCCGACAACGGGCCCTAAATGTTCTTTCGAGTGATGTGAAGGAGGGAAAAAAAAAAGGCGCACACTGCTTATTGCGCGCTCGCGCTCTCAAAATACCCAAACAAATACGCAAGCAAAACGTCGAACAGCTGAGCTGCGTCTAACAATTCACAAATCCACAGTCCAAACTCTCTAGTCTCTCTCTGCGTTCAACCACGAGAGCAGAATTTCAGCAGCGACAATGTTCGGAGCTCAAGCTTCCTCTTCTCCTTTCGGCCTGTCATCGTCAACCTCAGTCTTCGGAACGCCGTCGTCAACCTCGGCCTTCGGGACGCCGTCGTCAACCCCGGCCTTCGGGATGCCATCGTCAACCCCAGCCTTCGGCACGCCGTCTTCAACCCCAAGCTTCTTCACTCCTTCGACCCCAGCCTTTGGAACTCCGTCGTCGTCTTCATTTTCCACTGGTGGCTTTGGCGGCTCCTTCTTCGCCACTCCATTCTCTTCTCAAACTCAACAGCAACAACAGCAACAACAGCAGACGCCGTCGTTTCAACAACCTCAGTCTGCTGGTGGCTTTGGGTTTCAGAGTCCGTTCACTTCGCCACAGCAGCCGACTCCCTTCCCTAATTCTCAATTGACTACTCAGATGGCTCCTGTTGCTCCTCTCCCCTTCTCTCTCGCCGATCGTGATATTCAAGTAAGGTTTTCCTTTTACCTTTTGTTTTTTCACTTCAAATCCCTAACCCTAGCTCACTCGATATGTTTTGATTTGACGTTTTTGATTTTCTGCGCCAGGCAATTGTTGACGCTTACAAGGATGAGCCTGGAAACCCTAAATATGCTTTTAAGGTTTGTTTTTCTTGTCTTCTTTATTCAGTTTGTTAGATTTTCGAATGCAGTGGTTTCCCGCCCCTGATCTATATGCTTGTCTGTTTCATTTGTTGGAAAACAGATGAAAAATAATGAAAGTAAGGTTGTGAAATTATGCTTGTTTTAGAAGGAACTGAATGGTGAAGTTCATGTTTGAGTAAAACCCCAGCTTCTTATCTTCCCATTGGTTTTAAGCAACCTAGTTTTGGAGATTCATTTGAGGAATGATTAACTGTCTTGAATTTTGCAGCATTTGCTGTTTAGTGTAACCGATCCGCAGTTCAGGGTGAAGCCTGCTGGTGTATCAGATGTGAGTTTATTGTTTACCTTTTATTTCCTGATTGTTAGTGCTATTATCTGTTTTTTTGTTAATCTTTTTATTTCGGCTAAGTTTGGAGAATAGTTTGCATTGTCAGATAATGTGGGCAGAGGCTATGGGGAAGCTTGAAGGTCTGGAAAGTACTGACAGGGAACGCCTGTGGCCTCAGCTTGTTCAGGGTTTTAAAGATCTTTCGCAACGCTTGAAGGTAATTGTTGTTAGTTTTAAGCATAGAGATATTATTAGGAGTATTTTTGCATGTTCTTTTTTATTGTTGATGCTGAGACGCTGACCAATAAATACTTGGAAAGAGTGCATTTGAGTAATGTTTTGAGTTTTTAAGTAACAAATTCACTGGTTGGTGTTCGTGAATGCCAATTTTTGTGAAGATGTTACAGTGCAAAGGTTCTGTTGTGGCATTTACTGACTGAAATTTCGGATAAAAATTTAAAAATTTGTTGGTTACCAACCAGAGTTGCCGTCACAAAAAGTTTTCTGTCAAATTACGTGCCTATAGTTGGATCACTACCATGATGCAAGTATTGAGTTAATATGGTTTGAGTAGAATTTCCTTTCCGAAAAACATCTTTCCGAAAAACATATGGTTTGAGTAGAACAAAAAGGGTTTAGGAATCAATGCAGTTGCAATAACTTTGTGATGATAGCTCTTAAGATGGGGAAAAGGCAAATGAAATATTTTGGTCTTGCATGGCGACACAAACATATATATTTGGAGAACTTACTGATTAAAAGCTATTTGTGTTACTTCGATTGATCAATATTTATTTGCATGAAGAAACTATGATAATAAAATGAAAGTGATCAGTTTTGAGGATTTTGCACCTGTACTCCTTGTCATCATTTACTGAAGTCTGATGTTGTCAAAATGAGCTGATGCAGCTCCAAGATGAAGTCCTTCTTTCAGATGCTGAGAGATTGCAAATGACCCAAAGCAATGTCAAGATGGTATCTTTTTAGCTCATACGTTCATCTACTTTTATCATACAAATTTGAAAATAGTTTTCACGTCCTCTGTCATTTGCAGCTTCAAAGGCATTTTCAAGCTGACACTCTTCCTTGGATCGAAAGAATGAGACAAAAAGAACAAGGTCTTCAAAGGCGCCTTTTGAGGGTGGGTACAGTTTCTGCTAAATATTTAAGGAACTGTAAAGAATGAGTCTGTAAATTAAGGTTGACACTCATTGTACTTCTTTGTTGTCCCTCTGTGGTTTTTAAGTTGGCTTAGACTAAAATAGCTTCATTGCAATTTGGCCTTGTAACAAACATCTAGTTGTTGTCAGTTGTATGGGTTGGACCTGAAATAGTTGTCTGTTTCACGGGTTTAAATCATTATTGTGTGGGTAGTTTATGCATTTTGTATCTCTGCAAGTGTTTTGACCTCTTTTAATCTCCTTGTGCTATTCCAAAAGGTGATGAGACTACTGGAGGCACTTGAGGGCAAGGGTTTTCGGCTGCCTTTAATGAAAGGTGAAGCAGAATTGGCTGAGAAGTTAGCTGCAATTACTAGACAGGTTCTTTTTCTCTTGCCCTTTATCCCTTCTATGCATCCTACTCCCTGTTTGTCATTAGGTGAAGATACTAATAAGCAGTTGGATTTCCAGTTGAAAGGATCGGGAGCTGAGCTATCTAGGAGGGTACAAAACCTGGTAACCATATCCCGTGTCCAAGAAAATGCTATTGGTGCTGGTGGTTTAGTCTGTCTTCCAGGATCAACCAAAATACATGAACAGAGTCTTGCTGATATGCAAGAGGTGAGAGTGGACTAGTTTCGAAAGCTTCTATTTTATGTCACCTTCTGCGAGTAACCGTCTGTGTAGTTTCCTATTGATGTAGTTCTGCAATGCTGTCCTTTAGGAATTATTGAAGTACATGTCTTTATTTGACAACTTATGATGTGAGATTGGTCAACTGAAAGTTCATTTTTGTGGGACAGGTCTTACAACAGCAGACAGAAGCCATTGCAAGACTGGGCAATGTTTTGAAGCGCGATATTAGGGACATGGAGATTATAATGGCCGAGGAGACAGAAACTACGGAGAATATGATTATGAGCTAAGGCGGCAAAATGACGGTTTGTCAACTGTAATTTTATGCGTTTAATTTGGTAACCAGCGGCAGGGTAGTTTTGAGTGGAATTCTGGAAATCATTTTGGATGATCAGAGACGGAACTCATTTATCCACTTGCATCTTTTGCAATGAATATTGACTCTAGGATCTACTTGCATTGCCACCAAAGAACTTAATGAAACAAAAAAATAAACAGAAAAGTATGTGCACTATTTACGGGATTGGCCCTGCTTTGGACCTATACAAGCCCGCATTAGATCTATAAATGGGCCTGAAGTGGGCCTGAATTGGGCCTTGAATGACCATGAGTCTTGTTACGGGCCGGCATGACTAATGGTCTAGTAATGGGCCTCCAATTGTGCTCCATATGGGGCTATTTGGGCCTCACATGACCATTGGTCTGAACATGGGCCCAGGGACAATTGCGGGCCTCATATGAAGTCCATTGGTCTTTACATGCCGAATCATTCAAGAGTCCTCTTCGCTTTATTGGACCACCCGGATAATTGATAAAAGAAAAACGGGGATTGTTTTACATTTGCATTCTTTTATAAGAGCATTTTCCTACAACAGAATCTAGAAAATTTCAAATAATACAACGCTTGCTGGTCTGTCTCATTGATAAACTATAACTAGAGCATTTTCCTAAATTTCATTTTCTTTCCACTATGGATTTTTTCTACGATGTCCTATAGCTAGCTGGGGTAAGCTTCTGCCATGATTAATAATACAAGAGATGTCCAGCCATTAAATACGCGGGCACCTTTTCCCTTGCCATTCCTCTGATCATATTGTTCCCGGAAGAACCCATTTTTGTGATAATTCTGAACCACATTTCTGCAGCACGGGGGAAATGCATTTAAATCCATAAAATATAATAGATTAAGCATGAGCAAATGCAAATCAATAGGCATCAAATGGGTAGAAAATGTCCACAATACCTAATCAAATTGCCTCTCAAGTCTTCGTAGATGGTTCTCGCTTTTTCCCTATATGGCCCATCCACTGGAACAATTCAAACAAGAAGAAAATTCATGCAATAAGACGGTAATAAAAGAAGGGATAAAGCTTGCAGGACGATTCTTTTTCTATTATCAGTCAGTGGAGGGGTTAGGGTACGTACCTCCAGAGTAATGATGGAGTGATGAAAGAATCATGTAATTCATGTTCATCCATATTGGACCCCTCCAATAAGGAGCATCATGTTCTGTATTGTATTTCATGTACAAGGAACTGTCGTATAAAAGACGAAATATTTTGTGCTTTAGACTTCACAGAGTCTTCAAAAGTCAGAGAAAATGAATTCTGCCAAGAACACCAATAAATTTGACATTCTCTTTTTGCATGATCACCTTGTTTTGGCAAGAGAACGGAGTCCAAACTTTGTCCATAAGATACTACGGTTCGATATAAGGTCTAGCTGTTTTTCCAAAATCCTTGAATCCTGTGCGATTTATAAACATGAGAAATCTATACTCAAAGGATATAATTGGCAAAATATTATCTTTGCAACCAGATGACACTACTTACTGCTGGAATAATCCTTGCAATGAAGGGGAAAAGACTAACAGGGCCGATATGAGGAACCAGTCCCAATTTGGGGCTTTCTAATACCTCCCTCACGAGCTCTCGAGTTGCATAATTGTGTCCTACCGTCGTTTCTTTCCAAACTAAACGAACCTAGTATGATCAAATCAATGCCCAATATTAGCATGCAAATATTGTAAATATTGAAAAGCAAAAAAGCTATCCACCTTGTAACATTTATGCAATGGACATTAGACCCAGCAGGCTACCAAACCATCTATTGGACGACATAATTTATCTAAACCTATTAGACATGACAGCACATGCTAGCATGCTATAAGAAATTTGTAGTCCCAAAACAAATCATCTTTATTCACTTATGGGCAGTTTTGACTCTTGTTCTTATATCAAGATATTAACTAGAATCATGAGGAACCCATGTACCACGTGCAAATAATGCTTGTGAAAACATCACAGAAGAGAAGAAAAAAGGGATTATATTGATTACCAGCAAGCAGCTTACCTTTTCCGTATGATTTCCAAAATCAAGATAAGTTCCATATGCATCATCATAGTGCATCTGTTGAAACATTAAAAAAAATATACGACATAAAAACAATGAACTAAAATAGTAATTAACCGAGCACATTTCCTTATTGAACATGATAATAAATGCCTTCAATCCCCCCTCCCCCCAAAACCCCGCACCAAAAAACAAAATGATGGCTGGGAAATACATATTGCAGTCAAATGTGTCAGGGTGAATATACAACAACAAACTTTAAATATGATAACGAAAAACTAACCTGATTCAGAATTTCAAAATCCGAGAGTAACTTAACCTTATTACCGTATTCCTGCATCATTTTTAAAATGTTAAATAACTGGAATATCCCAGTAGTGTTTCCAAATGTACTTGTTTCACTCACATACCTTTCCAGATTTATTTTCCTTCTCAAACAGCTCTGCAATGGAATGCATGCAATCTGCTGCAAGTAGCATCCAGCATCTAAGATCTACATGGCGTTCATCCTCACTCGGGTGAGAAGCACGTGGATAATCATCCAATCCAGAAGTCAGCGTCTGGAGATGCCATAATAAAATCTAAGTTAACTACCGGTGTCTTTAAACAGGAAGGTTTTCCTAATTTGATCCGAAATTGAGCAACTCTGGCATATCATTCCCAAAATAATACCACATTCTTGCTAAGATTTAAAACAAAAGGAGAAACAAATCTTGTTGAATATAAAGTCCTTAACAGAGTAAGAATTTCTATAAAACAGAACCTTCGGGTTTAATTCCCTAGTTGTTGTGTGGTCTCTCCCATGCCAGTAGTAGCTGCCAACTTCCTTCCCTGTGTTCATAGAATCATACTCCAAATAAATAAAAAGTTCCAATTGTCAAAAAGGAAAATTGATTCTAGTAATGAGTTATAACAGACATACAAGCACATACTCAGTAATGAGTTACCACATATGTGCCCTTGAGTAGAATAACAGACCATAAACTCATGTCTCACAACCCTGCCTATAAAGAAAAATCCATGGCAGACTAAAGAGTGACAAAACCCTTATATACCTGACTGGGTAGTGTTGAACCATTGAAACCATGCTTCTAGGCGAACAAAAGCTCGTTCTAGGAATGAAGAGATCGCATCGGTTTCAGCAGCAGTAAACTTGTTTATCTTTACGCCATGAACTAGGTCTGTCAGAAGCAAACTTTCAGCCAGCCAACAAAATTTTCAAGTAGACAACATACATTCTGAGGTATATGGGAAGAAACTAGGACGTCAAAATTCTAATTCTAACAATGATGTCTCAAGTCATATTGTTTTCTTGAAAAGTCTAAAGTCAAATATATGGGGACACAGATAACAAAATAAAATTTTCTTAGCATAAAAGCGTCAAACTGAAAACTACATTTCCATGGACAGAAAGTTTAATAGAAGGAAAAAAAAAAACTCACTTACCATTTAATGCTAAAAGTAGAGCTGGTGGATTTCCATTTGTTGGAATCTGAACAACATAATCACTGGGGACTTTACTGCAGGTACCCCAGAAAAAGCTTACATACTACTTCCATTTACAAAATCTAAGACCTGAACTTATACGCATATTTGAACAAGAATATCACCTTAGAGCTTCAGCACCTAAAATTTGCTCACGCGGAATCCATCCATCAATATTCATCAGATCTAACCAGTGTCCTATGATGTCCAAGGAAATATGGATATCCCAACGCCTGATTGACATTGAAGATACATATATGAAAGAGTTGCCATTTTCCAATAGTGGATAGATAGGACACTAACATAAGGTATTTAACTTCATATTTTAGTATTATTTTTTTCTTTCCAGAAATTGCAAAGGCAGCAGCTGGAATTAGGTCAAAATGGGAGTAACATGCAGACTGAAAAACATGAGGCAACTCACCAGACCAAAAGCTGATGAAAGCCTTCATCCCACAAAAATCCCCTTGGAAAGAAGGGCCGACTTGGAACAGCTGTATAAAGCTCAGCAGGCCAATATAAAATAGAATCATCATGATTTCCCGGCTGCAAGAGGAAATGGCCAACTGTATGATTTTGTCAGATGTCCACATTGATGTGATCAATAAGTATAAAAAATAACTATTCTTTCAAATAAGTACAAAATTTAACTGATGCAGCCAAAGATTCTCACAAATTTGGTCACTGTAAATTAACTGCTCTGTTAAAGCCCAGTCAGATAATACTTATTGTGATCGAACCCCGTTGATATCACATCCTATTTTACGAACATCCTGGTTTGTGATTCTTGCACTTTCTCTTATTTGGAAGCAAAAGAGATGAATTTCATTAAGTTAAGCAGGAATCATTAGCATCTGCTTTTGGGTGATCATGCAATTAGCCACATGACATGCTCCAAGAGATCTTATTTTCCCTAAATTATGAAAACAAAGGAGGAAAAATGGAAATTGAACTCAATTCATTTGTAAAAAAACAAAATTTGAAAACAGAGGAAAAATAAAAAGTATTGAAAGGACAGGTAGCCCATCGAAGTAACCAACATGACATGCTCTAAGAGATCTTATTTTCCCTAAATGATGAAAACAAAGGAGGAAATATGGAAATTGAACTCAATTCGTTTGTAAAAAAAAACAAAGTTTGAAATCAGAGGAAAAATAAAAAGTATTGAAAGAAGGACAGGTAGCCCATCGAAGTAACCAACAACTTACATTCATATTCCCAGATATGGCTATTTTTGACTGTCCGAAGAAGTAGCCAATGCCACCCAACAAGTTTCCTATAGCAGCTTTACCAGCAACAATAGATTCAGAATCAAGCTGAAAGCATAATAACATGAGTTCAGAAGTCATTTGTTGCCAATAATATTTAATCAGCTTAAGTGAAACTCTTTTTTTTTTAATAGATCAGCTTAAGTGAAACTCTGATGCACATAACTATCTCAGTTTGGCAAAAAAATTTAAATTCAGTGTTTGTAACCGCATATATAGAACATCAGCTTCAACTGTCATGCTGACATGCAAGACATGGGATTCTCAAAACTAAAATTCAAATCCAGAAATCATAAGAAGTATCATGAAGCTAGAGGATGTGGGAA